ACTAATCTCTTTCTGCCTCCTAGTCCACTGCCATGTGAACCACAGCATCATGCCATCCCAGCGGCTATGCTATTCCTACCATGATGGGCAATGTTGTGAGCCAATAAAACCCTCCTCCCATCAGCTATTTCTTGTAAGATATTTGGTCACAGGAATTAGCAAAATAATCAATAAAAGGTTGTTAGCATAATTTCTATGAAAATTTTCTAGCCCTAGTAGGAAACAAATAAAATGATTTACTTTGAAGAAAGCCGTTCATATGTATAATCTAAATGTTCTCAACACTGCTTATGATACCTGCTGTACACTGCAGGTGACTGCAGGTGACTGCAGCCTCCTGGATACCACAGTTAGAAAGGCTATCATCAATAAATGACAACAAGTGCTGGCCAGGATGTGGGAGAAGGGTAATCATATACAATGTTGGTGGGAGTGTAAAATGGTGCAACCACTATGGAAATCAGAGTAAGGGGCTTCTCAAAAGGTGAAAAAAAGAGCTACTATATGACTTCTGTACTAACCCTGGGCGTATATCTGAGGGACTCTATACTACTCCAGAGGTGCTTGCTCACCCATATTTTATGCTGTCTACTGACAATAGATCAAAAATGGAATCTACCTAGATGCCCATCACCTGATGAATGAATAATGCAAACGTCATACATATATATGATGAAATTTTATTCAACTATAAAAACATGAAATTTGCAGGAGAATGGATAGAACTTTAAAAATACACTGAGTGAGTAATCCAGGAACAGAAAGACATTATACGCATGTACTCTCTCATATGCAGGTACTAGCTTTGAATTTCCAGATTTATATGTTTCATTTGGAATGTCTGTAGAGGCCAGGAAGTGAAAAAGGCCCAAGAAGGTGGAGGGGAAGAGACCTTTAGGAAGGTAAGTAATGGAATCTATATGATCAGAAAGTAGGGAAGGGATACGGAGGGTGACAAGGTTTAACTCAAGATGGGGGTAAGAAGAAGGCTTAATCCAAACTAAAAAGATAGAAAAAGTTTCATGGAAACTCTGTAAGCTGCGTAAAAAATATGATTAAAAATAAAATCTGAGGCTGGGTGTGGTAGCACACACCTTTAATAACAGCACTCAAGAGCCAGAGGCAGGCAGATCTCTGGGAGTTTGAGGTCAACCTGATCTATATAGCAAGTACAAGCTATCCATAGCCATGAATTGACATCCAAGGCACACCAAACAAACAAAGAAAAAAAAAATGACATCTTTTCATGGATGGGCAATCTTCATGAGTGGGTAATCCTGCCCCAGAAGCCACGGGTTATTAAACAAAATTCTCAGTGCTAGGAGTGACAGCATTTTGTGAGTTGTTGCTCAGTATGGTCCCAGAGGTTGCCACAGGCCATTGCTGTTGCTCTTGGGCACTCACCAGAACTGGAAATTTGTTTCCTATTACTAAAGACACCACTGTTAACCAAAGATAACAGAGAACACAAGTTAGAACTGACATGAAACAAGTTGGAACTGAACTGACTACCAAAGCTTATCTCTCTCTCTCCCGACAAGTATTGATAGTGCTGGAAGGTGCTATCCCAGGCCAATGGAGGCAAAAAGTCAATACCAGGTTCACCCTATGTTACCTGTGTTTTATACAACAACCTGCCAGGCAACATGTATTTAGGATCATAAAGGCATGACTACACTGGGTAACAAATGGCTTACAGATTTAATCTGAGGCCCGAATTATCTGAATATAAGACAGAAATCATGCTTAGTGGTGTAAACCTGGACAAGATTCCATGACTGGGGGCATCCTTCAGGCAGCCCATGAGGTGGAGGAATGGTGAACACAAATTTTGAGCACTGTTGGAACAGAAGTTCAGCCTTCATGCCATCTGCACTGAGCTGTTCACAGTCAAGAAATGATATCACATAATTAGCACGTGAAAGGGGCACATAGTAAGTACTTGCTTCTTATATTTTGGGTTGTAAGCCTAGCCTTTAATGGCTGAGCCATTTCTCCAGCCCAAGAACTTACATCTTAAAGACAAAAAGGAAAGCTATTGGGTGGTAACAGTTCCTCACAATAGAAAAATTAATATGGATGATCAGCAAGCAAGTGTTGGGGTGGAGATCTGCAGTTTGCTGATGAGACAACCATGTTAGAAAAACCAAAGTTGGTTAAGGCCATGTCAAACCTTTGGTAATCTTCTGTGACAATAGCGATATTAACTTTATTTTGGATTCCACTTTTCATGAAAGTGTGTACTTTTATCCAATGACCAATGCTGCAACTGTGGGATTGCATCCTGAAGACTTCTTCCTATTTGTGAAGGAGCTGGACATGATCCCATAACACTAAACTTTCATTAAAAACTAATTTGGAGCTAGACATGGTAGCACAAACTTTTAACCCAGCACTGGAGGCAGAGGAAGAATCTTTGAGCTTGAGGCCAGCCTGGTCTATATAGTGAGTTCTAGGCTATTGTCAATTAATGGCCATAGGGGCATAAACATTATTAAGTTGCCTGTGCATCAGGAAATGAGCCATGCCCATGTTCATGCCAGGAACCCCGACTAAACTCACTGGGTCATAGAGAATGAAGTCATGAAAGTAGACAAACTTGCTGGGGAAACGGGCTCTAGATTGCATGGGAGGGAAGACTAGAAGGTAATGGGAGTGATCAAACTAGAAGGTAATGTGATCAAAATACATTATATATGGTATAAAACTGACAAAGAATAAATAAAAATATAAGGGGAAGGTTTAACTAAAACTAAGTAAGTATAACATCCATATAAAAACCCACTACTTCATTAGCTAATATTTTAAAAAGAGTTTCACTGGAGCTACCTTCTGTACTCCCACAAAAATTTTTTAGCTCAAAGATCACAAATTTAGGGTTATTTATTTTTGTGAAATCATAAAAAATGGTACTTTATGTTCTATAGACCAACCTTGTGACTGGTATTAAAGTTTTCAAGTTAAATAAGAGTTGAAAGCATTACAGATGATGGGTTCAAGACAAGTCAGATAGATCTTAAAATACACCATATGATTTAAAATAACCATTTATAATTTACTTATTAAATAGAAACTCTGACTTTATGTAAGTTGGTTTTCTAAGAAAAATTATATATTGTAAAAAATGAGTCATTGTCTAAAACCAGTGGGTATTTCGAAAACAGTATACATATTATCTTTCTTGATTGCAAGAATAAAAGGCACATAGTTTTGTTACATAAAGCTCACTTAGGCATACACACAGCATAGCACCCTTACCAGATTTCAGTAGGATAAAAACTGATCTGAATTAGTGAAAGTCAGAGTATTTATTTTTTGTTTTTTGTTTTGTTTTGTTTTTTTAAGTCAGAGTATTTGTAAAGATTCAATTTCATTGATGTTTGATGGGTTATGAAATGGTTAAGAATTCTTCTTTTCCCACTGCTTCTTTTCCCAGATGGAAATCAGCACATGGTTTCATGCAATATTCCTCCTATATGCTCTCCAATGCCTTCCAGAACTTTGGTACGGGAAGAGAGCCTTCTTTTTTAGCATTCTTGCTCATTTCAGCCATGCAATAGAAAGGGAAGCATAACCTGTACTTTCCCCTTCACAGGAAAATGCCGCCTACATTAAAGAACTACACAAATCCAACACTGGTCTGAGTGAGAAAGGGCAGTTGCTTTTCTGCGGAGGTAGATAGCGTGTTCTAACATCTGATTTTAAAGGTCAGTTTGCCTGTGGAGAGTGCAGCTGATTCTGCTGCCTCATTCATCAGCTTTCCCCAGGGCCTTTCCTAAGCTATCACTCTTTCCAACTGCAGCAACTCTGAGCTGGATATTTACTGAACACCAGAAAGAAAAAGGTTCACGACTTCAAGTCCCTGATCTGGGAGTCAGTTTTCAGATCCAGAAACACAGAAAATTTTCATTGCATCCTTTGCATTCTTCAAGTATAGCTCAGCTAATAGCCCTTGGCTAGAATGTGTTTAATTTAGCTTTGAGTCACAAAAACCTTTCTATTCACACGAATGAGATGGACTTAAGCGTTCTAGCCAGTAATAATCTTTGTCTTTTCTATGAACCTGGAAGCAATACCTGTATAAACAAGACCCTTTCCCTCTTCAGTAAGAAAACTCTCTAACTTACACCAAGAGAAAATAGACACAGAAAAGAAGCAAAAAGAAGTGAGCATCAGCTTGAGCTCCCAACCTGGCGTTTTTGCTTTTGTGTAATGCATATGAAAAGCTCTAACTAACCCCTGGGAAACCAGTCTCCAAAATCTTTTTTTCTGGATGATGAAAACAAGCCAAAGATCATTCTTCCAGCACAAACATCTATACATACATTCCCAAACTACCAAAGCAAGAGATCATCATACAGGGAGAAGTTTTGTTTTTGATTTTTAGTTAGCTTGTTTCATAATCTATCATACATAGGTTCTGACACATTTTTGATAAAAATGCTGGTAATACTAGAAATTTTACAGAAGTATGGAACAGGAAGATACAAAATAAGTTTTTTTTTTTAATTTGGTCATGAATATTCTGAATCAGTTATAGAAATAGCTAAAAATTAATTATTCAAATAATTATAATTGGTAGCATTAAGCATTAAGTAGGGAAGAAAATTACCAACATGTATTTACTGGAAAAAAAGGCAACTTTTAAAGATGACCAAGTGTTTTACAAGCAATGCTCAAAAATTCTTGTGAGAGTAAGTTGGGAATGTTCTCCTATCACACAAAACCAACTCAGTTATCACAGTCTTCTGCTAGAAGTTCCAGGTTGGATGCAGACAGTCACACACACTTGTAGTGCATCCGCACCTACTGCCCTTTTCTCTCAGGAACTGTTGGACACCATTATTACCTTTGCAATCTAGAAACTCCCCCAAAGAACTAACTGTGAAATCCACCCAAATCCAATTTCACCCAAAGGAAGAACATCACCCAAGACATATTTATTGCTAACAGCCTGATAACAGGGAAAAGGAAATCAGTTCCCAATCTTCTCCACTTACCTAGGAGTTTCGCAATGATATAAAGAGCTTGTCCCCAAAGAAACAATTTCCCATCACGGCCACAGTTACTAGGAAACCGTTTCTGACTACCAGGGTTTCTCTTTTCATATTCTACAAAGTCAGCTGGCACATAATAGTACTTTGGTACAACAGGATATCCTAAAGAGTAAAATAAAATAAAATTTATTTTAATTTAGAAGCAAGCATATTAAAATAAAATAAAGCAGTGTCCTTCCCAAAGTTCCCTTTGAAGAATCTGTGAGGACAGAATAGCAATGACAGTGGTACAGAAGCAGATTTAGTGAGCTACAGAGAAGTGTGGCACTCTGGTTCCTTTGGATATTGCTAGGGAAACACATGAGAAAAGAGTCCCTTGACTTTAGAACTAATTCTATAGTATATTAGGCTTTAGATAGTGATATATGTATATCTCCTTTAGCAGCAAACACCTTTAACAATATATATATATATATATATATATGTGTGTGTGTGTGTGTGTGTATGTTTATATACACATGTATATATGTATATATGTGCATATACATACATATATGTGTGTGTAGAAAATTATATATGTATATATACATACATATATCTCAGTAATGTTTATGTATATATAGTATACAAATATTCACAGCCATAAGAGAAGTTATTTTAAATAAAATTAGTCTATAGAAGCATTGTAAATGAGAGACTATTTAATTTTTAATTAATTATATTTCTGAGCCATTGGTTAGCACATATAAACCCCTATTTAAATATTCCCTATCTTCTACTATTCAGTGTCACCAAAGAAAATCAATTTGTTATTAAAACATATCTTTTAAAGATACACGTTTCCAAAAATGAAATTATTATTTAAAGGATATATGTTCCTTATAGGGTACAGCAGATGATATTTTGTTATAGCAATCTACAGAAAACTTAATTTTTGTAATAAAATTAAGCAATAGCCTTCAAATTCTGCTGCTTTTTTCATTCATCAATTGATAGTGACAAATGTGTCTAAAATCAGGGAAAGAGGTTATGATCTATGGGAAATCCTGTGAACATCACTCTGAACACGAAGCCAAAAGGTAGAGTATGTTAGGCACCCACTTTCATGTATCAATGATCCCTTCCTGAATACAAAAAGACCTGATTGCAGAAATCTCAAATATTTTACTAGTTGCACTATTTTTCAAAGAAAACAAGTGAATATTGAAAATACAACTCCTTTTTTTAAAAGTAGCATTTATTTTGAATTTAAAAATGCTTGCCAGGTGGTGGAAGTGGTTCTGAGCTCGAGGTCAGCCCTGGCTCAGGGCTACACAGAGAAACTCTTGTGTTGAAAATTAAAATAAACAAAGAGTGCCTTCCATAAACACTTCACAACTTTTAATATTATAGGCATTGAAAGGGTAAAACAAGAGATGAAGTATTTTATTCATGTATTCCTGGAACCTTGCCCCCCTTACCTAGTCAGGGACTTCAAGTGCAACAGGAATGGGGCCCAGTGCTGTGAATGACACTTCATGCTTTATATCCGCAGGGAGATGTATTTGTTTTGACTAGCACACCAAAATTCCAAAAATTTTAACTTTCATACAAATTTCCAAACCTTTTCTCATGAGACTCTACTTCTATTAATATTTCTAAACCAAAGATTTCTAGAATATTGCCCTTAAATTCCTTTGGGAATTTTCCAAACAAGCTTTTCCATAAGCCCTGCTAGTATTTGACTGAAACCAATACAGCCTTACTCCTAAGATTTGGCTATTTCTAAAACATTGAATCCATCTTCAAAGAATGGCATCTTGGTAAAAGGAAAAACATTCAAAATACAATGCTAAAAGCCAGAAGCATCTCTAAAGAGTCTAGTCTGCCTGTGCCCATGGACCTGCCTTCAGCCAAATGCAGTCTTTCCAGGGAGCCCTCCTAGGGTCTAGGGCTGGAGGAGGGTAACATTCACGCAGTTAACTAATTTTTGATGACTTGGGTAAAAAGTAGGTGCTTTATGTCATGTAACACAACACAGAGTAAAGGAACTATACCATGAATATCACAATTGTGTCCATGTGCAACTCCCTCAGCATCACTACAGCCATGACCACCTACATTCATGCCCATCCTTGTCATGACTAATGAACTAGATTAAGAGAGATTATCCTAATTTCAGTTGAGGTCTCATTTTTTCCATATATATAGATAATTATGTTTTATAGAGGACTGATGCACACATTTTACATAAACAAGGAGATGCTGGTATAAGGAGTTCTTGATGGAAGAACTATACCTTCTGTGGTCTGGTGCAGCAAAGGGGTCAGGAGGTTCTGGTACTCCTGGACTTGTTGAAGATTGCCTCTAAATACACCTAAAACAGAAACACAAAATCCAGTGCTGGCTCTGCTCAACAAGCATACAAAAATTCTGCCTTATAGAAACTTTTACAATTATTGTGCCAAATTTTAAATAAATGAAAACATAAAATTGAGGAGAAATGTAAATAAGTATGACTTTTTATAGAAATTGATTTCAGAAAGTCATGCTAGCATTTAGAATTAACTACTGAAATAACTGAAATTTCACTATGCTTACGCATAAATGTTATAGATATTCAATACCACGATCATCGTATTCATGACTTCTATGATAAGACAATACTGGCATCAATATTAAAGACTTCAAAGTGGTTTTAACAGTCCTTTAAGTATGCAAATAGAAGGCAAGGACTGAAACCCAATCTTGTAATGTGGCGTGAGTGCACCTGTACTCACAAGAATTCCAGCACACACTTCATACACACATGCATACATCATAAACATACAACATGTATAGACTTTTTAAAATTCTTTAAGATCTAACATCCACTCAGAAAGCAGAACAGCATAAAAATACAGAGTTGCTACCATTGCTTAAGTCTAATCTATTGCTAGATGAAAGAAATCACTCATTTCACCTAGTCTTTTAAGATTTTTATTATTTTTACTTCGTGTGTTTGAATGTGGTTTATGTAGGTGTTTTTATATGCATGTTCATGAGTACATGCATGTGTGTGCACATGTGTGGAAGCCAGAGATTGACATTGGATGTCTTTCTTAATCCCTCTAAAGTTCTATGAGACAGATACCTGAACTGAACCTGGAGCTCACCCACTTGGTTAATCTGGCTAGCCAATAACTTCAGAGATCCACCTGTCTCCACTTCCTGGTGCTGAAATTACAGTGATGTGATTTTCAGGCAGGGGTTAGAGATCACACTCAGGCCCTCAGCCTGCATGACAAGAACTTTACCAGCTGAGCCATCTGCCCGACCCTCAGTGTTCTTCAATATCAGAGAAAATTTCACTTACCATCAATCATCATGTAAAGGAAAAATATGGGAAATTCACATTCAATGCCATCAAACAGCTAAAAGAGAAAAGTAAAACATTAGGATTTCCATTAGCAAACTAGAGCAACTATGTTTTAGGTTATATGCAAGAGACTTATTTATAGTAATAAATTCAGGTTGAGAACAATTGTTCTTTAAAAATATTTTTAAAACTTTTATTCAAAAGCTCATTTATTGAACTCACTAAATAGCAGTGATTAAATAAATAGATACTCAGTACTCACTAACACCTAGCGTTAACTAGACTGCTTCTCAACCTTCCTAATATGGTGATCCTTTAATATAGTTAGTTCCTCATGCTGTGGTGATTTCCGATCATAAAATTATTTCATTGCTACTTCATAACTGTAATTTTGCCACTGTTATTAATCATAATTTAAATATCTGATATGTGGGATGTCTGATATTTGATCCTGAGAGGGGTCATGGCCCACAGCTGAACTAGACAGAGTCCTGGGGACAAAAGTTAGAGGCTCACAGCATAGTGGGGAGGCTGGTAAATGAATAAATAACCACATGCACTGTCCACAAACAGCACATTAGGAACATAGAATGTGAAACACCTGAGTCTGTCCTGAGCGTCAGAGAAAGGTTATATGGCAAGAAATCAGCCAAAACGTTATGCGTAGTTCCAACAGTAGAAACCACAGAGATTGATTGATATGGGATGCTCTTCTGTATATATGTTTCTCTTATTGGTTGGTGAATAAAACACTGATTGGCCCATAGCCAGGCAGGAAGTACAGGCAGGGCTACCAGATGAGGAGAATGCTGGGGAGAAGTCGGCAGAGAAAAGCCTTCAGGGAGACGCCATGTAGAGACTAAAAGGAGTAACATGCTGGGCATTAAACTATGGCAAAACATAGTTTAATAGAATTGTTTAATAATTAAAAGGGAGCTAGCCTGTAAGAAGCCTGTACCATTGGCCAAACAGTTTATAAATGATATAAGTCTCAGTGTGTTTATTAGGGGCTAAAGGCAGCAGGACTAGGCTGAACAGAAACTCCTTCAAACATGTTAAAGAAACTATTGCAATTCACTAGTTCTAGAATGTACTGGCATAAGCAATAAAAATGGAACCCTAGCAGGTGGGCAGGAAGCCAAATCAACCTGCTCAAAGGCTGACTTGGAGTTAGTGGTGAACACTGACAAAGGGTCAAAGGTTACATTTATTTCCAGACTGAGCAGCTGGCAGTGCTTAGCAGTTGTGGGACAAGAAATGAGGAAATCAGTTCAGAGCCATAAGAACAGTCTACTCATAGTCTGTGACTTTCTCTAGTTGTACCCAGCAGGTGGTGTTTTGTTTTGTGACAAAGTCTCTCTATGTAGCCCTAGCTAGCCTAGAACTCACTATGTAGACCAGATTGACCTAAAACTTTCAGAGATCTGCCTTCTCCCCCTTTCCCTCCCCGCCCAGCCTCCTAAGTGCTGACATTAAACACATGAACAATGCCTGGCTCAAAAATATTATCTTTAATGAGATCATTCGCTTAATAACATAAAAGCAGACCACAGAAAGAAACAAAACCATGTAAGAAAAATAGTCAAAAGACTGAAAATGCTAAAAATATTATTTAACCAATGAATCCATGTGGCCAGTTAATACTATTTGATCAGTTACTACGTATCAAGCACAAGTCTAGGCATCAACATATAAAATCATTAAATACCCAGAAAAAGCTCGTGGTAGAGGTGATATTAATTTTAGCACTAAATAATGTTAAACATAACCAGATGGAGCAGGATCTCAAATCAAGAAGGCAGTCTCCTGGATACATGTTTTCAACAACTTGCTTGTGCCAGCCTGAACTAGTTTGTGGTACCTTAATTTCAGCTGGTTTGTAATAGCGTCTGTTGGGATCTTCCAATGATGTTCTATACCCATCTCTCAAGAAACGCTTAAATCCATATTTTCCTTTTAATTTTCTTATCACTTTATCAAGTGTCTGGCTGAACAGAACTTCATCATCCAAGGCAAACGCAGGGTAACTGATGCATGGGAGCAGGGCAGCGTCTGTGTTCTGAGGTCATTAAGAAAAACACCCTGTAAGTGTCTGCAGTGACATGGCCAACAGTCCAAGAAGCATCATGTCAAAGTAAAGTCAAAAAGCTTATCGAGTGACAGTGAGCTTAAGAGAGATAGATGCTTCTATGACATGTCTCTATAAACCTGATAGGACAAATAACACTTTATTCGTTAACAAAAAGAATTTTCCAACTTCAATATTAGGCTGTAACTTAAAAATTATACCTAAACAGAATGTAAAAAAATAATACTTATTACCATAACTTAGTTTGTCTATAACAGTGAAAAGGAGGAAACAAAAGATTCAACAACTGAGTAAATTAGTACCATCAGAATTCATATTGCAGAAGCAATTACATTTATATTATAGAAATTTGTTCATTGAATAGAAAAATGCTTGCTCATAAAAAACACTATTCTAATTTCTTTGTTTGTTTGTTGTTTATTTTTGTTTTTTTGAGACTGGGTTTCTTTGTATTCCTTTGGAGCCTGTCCTACAACTAGCTCTATAGACCAGGCTGGCCTCGAAATCACAGAGATCCTACTGCCTCTGCCTCCAGAGTGCTGGGATTAAAGGTGTGTGCCACACATGCCTGGCCACTATTCTAATTTCTTAAAGCAAAAAGTTATGTTCACAAAAACATGTGGTAATGTATGAGAATGCTGCCAAAGACTATTTAAATGGTAAAATAAATGGATAAAGCATTATTAAATAAACAAACAATGCTTCTTTATTGGTTATATTCTCATTTGAATCTGGTATCACTCTTGTAAAATAGTTAACTATTCTATTTGGGGTAGTTTTTGAAGGATAAAATAATAAATGATCCCTGGGAAAATGTACAGTCAGGTACAAGAAGTATACAGAATTTCATCAGACAGAGTCAAACATGGTCTGCCACTGTGCTGTGCTGAAATGAATCATTTTATATCCCATCATGAAAACAATGATTCCTTTGTTAAAAACAGAAGAATGATGTCTATTTTTATGTGGTGTAACAAAAGACTCAAAGGATTGAACAGCTCTGCCTAACCCTTCCTGACCAGCCTTGGAGGCTAGAGAGAGGAGACACACCTGCATTGCATCTCCTTATCCTGCATGAACTCAACACTCTAGTGTGACTACTTGGAAGGTAAATAACATAGAATAACACGCATAAAAACTGTAATGCTACACATCATCTCACATGAGAGCGTGATTCTCTGGGTAACAGTGAGCACAGTGTCTGCCTGTTGCGATTGTGAGCATCGAGATCCACAAATATAACTGACCAAGAACAGCCCTGGAAATTAAAAAGAAACACATTTCAGAGAATTGTAAACCATGTGGCATTCTTTCTGTGAGAAAAGACAATTCAAAAGCTTTCTATCAGTGAATGCTATTGTGTAAGAGATTATTAAAGACCTTAATTTTCATTATTTGTTATACATAGAAATGGATGCTTTCCCTGTATTCATGTTTGGGTACCACATGCATGTCTGGTGCCCACAAAGGCCAGAAGAGGGCATCAGTTACCCTGGAACCAGACTTCAGACAGCTGTGAGCCTCTATGTGGCTGTTGGGAATTGGACTTGAGTCCTCTGGAAGAACACCCAGTGTTCCTGAGACATCTTTCTAACCCTTTATTTTCTTTGTGTATGCTTTCAATATTTCCTGAAACAACCATATAATCATTAGATAGTATTTTGATATTTTCCTCTTTTCTTATAAATCATGTTTTGATTTTTATAACATCTAATAAATTACATTCATTTATATGAAGAAAACAGTTTAGCTAGTATATGAGATAAATCAAGAAATGATTTATATTAATAAAATTGAGTTGTGAACACCTAAATAATTTTGATTATATGATCAAACTAAACTCATTTATGTAACAATCTAGAATTGGGTATATAAAAATATGTGAAGGTACAAAGTGATGGTACAGGAATCTTATGTAATAACACTAGCAACTCCTCTTTATACCTCTCATGAAAAGGCCACATGTGGCTAGGGCTATCCCTCCAATTGAAGATAACAAATCCTAGTTCAACAGGGCAAATAGATAAAATCCAGTCTGCCACAGAAACTCATTTAATAAAGCATTAGATTACATAATTTCCCTATACACACACACACGCACACACACAAAAAAAGAAAGAAATAAAAAGGAAACAAAACTTGGAAGAAAGAACAAGAAATTTGAATAAAAAGACATTTATAGTAAAAATAAGTCAATCAGTCTGCAACACTATTTAAGGATTTTTTTTTTTTTTTTGCCATTTAGACATTAGTATATTTCCTATTCAACAGCACAGTCTAAATGAACAACTTTAATGGGAAGCTAAACATTTTAAAACACATAATAATAGGGAGTTAGAAAGACTGCTTCCATTGCAAAAAAAAAAAAAAAAGAAAAGAAAATACTCAAAAAATAAATCAGAAAACCAGGCATCATATACTTTATGTAGTTTTAAAATCATGTTCTAAATCTCATCCCAATTATACCCAACATCAAAGACTCACACACCTGGAAACTCTAATATCAGGACTCAATTACCTGACTGAAATTTCAAGTCTAGGAGGACTAGACAGAAAATCCAAGTGTCAGACTCAGGAGTTCTGTATAGTTGCTGTTAACTCATGTTCTCTGTGAACATTATCTTGTAAAACACAATAATTTCTCAATCAGAACACCATCATCAACAAATCTTTATCACTGGCAGGTGACTTGATAGCAGATGAGTGAGGTTCTCGCAATAGCTATACTGCAGCTAACAGAAGCCTGGATTCCCTACATTTCTACTGGCTTCAGAAAGCATCCTGGAGCAGATGCTCTCATCAGACTACTGTGAGGTAAACAAGAGTGAATCTGAACTCTGCTCTAGATGTGAGGTACACGGTGATAATATGAGAACCTTAAACCTGGCTTAGATAGAAAAGTGGCACTAAGTCCCCAGGTCAGTGGGAGAAGTGAACATCAAAGCCAGAGCCTGGATTCTGGCAGAAGCAGCAGCAAGATGACTGAAGAAAATAAGTGGGTTAGGGGACTGTGAATACACAAAACAGCAGAAGTTATTTGTAGGCCAATAACTGTCTGGAATTGGACCTTGAAAATATATAATGTATAAAGGATATGTTTTAACTAAAAATGCAAATTTGATAACTCAATTTTGTGATAAAAAAAAAAGTAAACTATTTCTGGCCACAAATAAGTAATTTAGTTACTTAAACTCATCGAGTATTTGTTGAGGTCCTAATTTTCATCTACCAGCCTATAAGATAAATGCCTAAGGAAAAATAATCTCATGAGGTGACCACCTCCTAACACTGAGACAGAATGCTAGTGAACTCTACCATTTGTATAAAGATACATACCACACTATAGGCACCATGGCCCAATTTCCAGGAGGGGAAAAAACCCAAAACCACACAAGGCCACCAACAGCTTTCCCATTTAGAAGCAAGTCTTGAAAGTCATCGAGGAAATCTCGCATAGAATCATCACCTATGAATTTCAAAGGAATGTGGACATGTGCTCTGTTTTGAATGCTGCAGGACATGAGCAACCTGTCATTATCAATTGCATATTCTGACCTTCGTGCATTTACCAGTCTCCTGCCTCCCACAATTAAAGTCAAGAACAGGAAAAAATGTGATAGGAATTATTTGAGAGAACCGCTTAACTTGGGCTACTAGATATTTATTGTATAAGTGTTTTGATTGCATGCTTGTGCTTGTGTGCCTGGTGTCCACGGAAACCAGATGGGATATGACCTACAGATGGATGTGAGCTGCCATGTGGGTGCTAGGAATAGAACCCAGGACTTTGGTAGAGCTCTTTAACAAATGAGCCATCTCTCTAGTCCCAGATTGATTTTTATCCTCCACTTTGTAAAACCAGAACCCTAAACAGTATGCTGACTCTACACAGAGCCTCTTTACAACTCTATCTTTCTTTAATTTGGATCTGCTGGTGCCTGTTCTAATCAATGCACAAGATGATTGAACTTGACCATCACCATGAGGATAGGAGCTTTAGTAGTATGGAAGGACACTCCTTTCCCTTTAAGGCTCATGACCAGAACCAACATTTCTGAGACTAGTTGATCTGACAGTTTCTGTTTCATTTTTGTTTTTTGGTTTTTTTTTTTTTACTTTTCATGTACACTTTGGTATGTCAACTGGTTAGATGGTTGGTTTTAGGCTGTGTTTCACTTGAATAGGCTTTTATGACTGTCCTTCTTCTGTATCTACTCCCATTACTACTTGTGTGGCTAAAGATCTACTTTGTTTCTATTTCTGCCTGAAATAATAAATGAACAGCCCATTTAGTAACATTTAGCACATAGTTATGTTAAAAACAGCTATGTTTTTGGCTGCAATTTATAATTCCTGAGCATTAAAACTCTAAGGAGGCTACAGATTCCTTTATACCAGGTCAGGAGGGAGTCTAGGCATCTGGACTGCCTTCTGAATTCCTGTAATGATTCTAATGTTCACATACACTTGAAAAACACACTAAGAAACAATATTGGCAGAACATTTATAGCTAAGACTCAAAATGCCTGATTAGGCAACTCAGATATTCCAGAAAACTCACTGACAATCACGCAGGGACAACAGTCACAGTGACTGGGTGGAAAGTGCCTGGAGAAGAGGGGGTATGGTGTTAAACAGCATGCATGGCCTTAGAGACTTCAAAGGAAGCTACACCATGACCAAAACCAAGCCAATCACTACCAGGGTCATAGCTAACCTGGACACTTAGCCCCGCTCAGTTTTCTCCTTGGCAGCCTAGGAAGGTCTGACCTTTCCAAACTGATGTTATATTAAGCCTTGAGAAATGCTAGAGGACTCTTAATCCATCACAATTTGTTAACTCCTTTATGGGACTTCCTTTTTTATGACTTTAGTGGAGCCTATTGTCCCTGTACTGTCCCTCTATCACAAGAACCAGTAGCTAGCTGTTAATTACAATCACATGGAATGTCACATTGCCTTGCCATTTCAGGAATCTACAAACACTCCTGAAAAAAAAAAAAAACTAGTCTAGTTCCTGGCCCAGAATACTGAGCTTCCTCTTACTCATTTCTCTTCCAGCACCATATGAATCCACTGTCAGCTGTTAGATTTTTTAAGTGCAAAAAATGCTCAAAGATCTCATGAAAATATAAAGAGATTTTTCTGGGCTCTGCTTTACACACACACACACACACACACACACACACACAGAGAGAGAGAGAGAGAGAGAGAGAGAGAGAGAGAGAGAGAGAGAGAGAGAGAGACAGAGAGACAGACAGAGAGAGATTTCAGACATGATTACAGGCTGATGAGGTTCACTAGACCCACAACTTCCCATCCTCACTGCAGACATTACAAAAACTCTCCGCATGAATCATACATAGAAATGCATCAAATCAAAACCAACATGAGACCTGACATGGACACTATAGGGTGTATAATGCCAGGGATACACAAAACTTGTGAAACTCCTCAGAAGCCATTCAGAGAACAGAAAGGTTGTTTAACAACAAAAGTCAGATTTGTCAAGTCAGAGGGCTCATATCCAAAGTACATAAAGAACTCAAGAAACTAGTCACCAACAAACCAAATAATCCAATTAAAAATGGTGTACAGATCTAAACAGAGAATACTCAACAGAAGTATACCACATGGCTAAGAAGCATTTAAGAAATGGTCAACATCCTCAGCTATCAGGAAAATGTAAATCAACATGACTCTGAGATTCCACCTTACACCTGTCATAATGCCTAAGATCAAAAACACATGCTGGAGAGGATATGGAGCAAGGGGAACACTCATCCATGCTGGTGGGAATGCAAACTTAGACAGCCACTTTGGAAATCCGTATAGTAGTTTCTCAGAAAATTGGGAATCAATCTACCTCAAGTCCCAATTATACAATTCTTGGGCATATACCCAAAAGATGCTCTGCTATATCACAAGGGCACTTTTTCAACTATGTTCATAGCACCTTTATTTATAATAACCAGAAACTGGAAACAACCTAGATGTCCCTCAACCAAAGAACAGATTAAAAAAAAATGGTACATTTACACAACGGTCTATTACTCAGCTGTGAAAAACAATGATATCATGAAATTTGAAGGCAAATGGATGGAACTAGAAATGATCGTCATGAGTGAGGTAACCCAACCCAGAAAGACAAACATGTTATGTATTCACTAGTGGATATTAGCTACAACACCAAGGATAACCATGCTACAATCTACAGACCCAGGGAAGCTAAGTGACAAGGAAGGCTCAACGGTGGGCAGGGGGAGGGGGGAGCGCACGGATCTCACTGTGAGGAGAAATAATAGACAATGCTGGTAGACTGGGAGGGGGTAGGATGGGAAAGTGGGGGGTATTAATGACGAGGTAGAGATGGGAGCAGGAGGATCAGGTGGGGTGGGGGAAGGATGGAGGAAGAGAGTATTGGGAGAAATGACTAGAACTGGGGGCATCTCTGGGACAAGCTGCAAACCTAGTGTAATGGAAACTCTCAGGAATCTATGAGGGTGACCCTAGCTAAGACTCATAGACACAGAGCCTAAACTAGCTATCTCCTGTAATCAGGCAAGACTTCCAGTTGGGTACTGGGATACCAACCCAGCTACAAAACCTTTGACTTGCCTACAATTTGTCCTGCCTACAAGATACGCTGGAGTAAAGGTGGCACAGAAATTATGGGAATGTCTGGTGACTAGTCCACCTTGAGACCCATACCGTGAGAGAAGGCCTACCCTGACCCTGACCCTGACCCTGCCTGGAGAGCCAGGACCCAGAGACCTAGAATAAAACTAAACATTACTGACAAAAAAAAAAAAAAAAAAAAAAAGTCAATGAAGTGATTCTTAATGGCATTCTGCTATACTCATAGATCATTGCCTAGCTCAATTGTCATCATAGAGACTTCATCCAGCAACTGACAGGAACAGATGCAGAGACCCATAGCCAAACATTAGGCAGAGCTCAGGGAATCCCACAGAAGAGGGGGAAGTAGAATTGTAGGAAACAGAGGGGTCAAGAATATCACAAGAAAACTCACAGAATCAACTAACCTGGATATATATGGGCTCGCAGAGACTGAACCAACAACCAGGGAGCTAGCAAGGGGCTTATCTGGGCCCTCTGCATATATGCTACAGTGTGTAACTTGGTTTTATGGGACTCCTTACAGTGGGAGCAGGGGCTGTCTCTGACTCTTCTGCCTGCTTTTGGAACCCTTTCCTCCTATCAGGTTGTCCTGTCTAGCCTTAATAGGAAAAGAGGTGCCTAATCTCACTGCAGCTTGATATACCATGACTGGTTGATGTCCACGAGAGGCCTGCCCTTTGCTGAAGAGAAATAGAGGAGAAGTGGATGGAAGGTTAACAGGGAGGGGGAACTGTGGTCGGGCTGTAAAAACAAACAAATAAATAAAAGTTACCATCACCACCAAATGAAAGCTAAACTTTCAATGGCTAATTATCTCAAAGGAAAGCTGTTCAAACATGGGCTGCCACTTCCATTTCAGAGAGTCACAGTTTTTAAGGAAATGACTTTGATAAGATAGTAAAGTTACGTAAGCATGCAAATAATATTTTTTTCATTTACCTGGTTTCCAAAGAGGTTAAATCCATTAATCGCTTCTAAGGCTGCTTTTGCTAAACCAACAGAGCTAGAGAGAAGGAAAGACATTATTACTGAGGTACCACAGGCAAATCTCTTTAGGAACATTCATAACAACCTCCATGGGAGAAAAACACCAGTCCCACATTTCATTATTTTAAATTTATTTTTTATAATAATTACCTGTGAAAATTCTTTCTAGGTTTACCTTGACTTAGATTCTACCACTAAATGGGCTATTCTGGTGTCAATTCTGATTCTTAAAGATTTTGTGTGTCATATACTTGTTACAGAATGTAATTTAGCATAGCCACTCAAATATGCACTTTCTAGGATCCAATAAAATCGGCATTACATTATGTTCAATACAAGTGTTCCAGGGAGAGTGAATTTTGTCCTTGGTTAGATCATGCCTGTTTCTTGTATAACTGCAGTTCTCAAGTCCAGTTTATTTTACTTGCTGCACATTTGTATTTGTTTTACTCAGACCTGACTGCATATATAGCTCACATCATTGGAAATCAACAACAAACCACAATCAAGTCAGTATTTCTCTAGCGTAGTCCCCAAGCAACAGCAACAGCAGCAGCCGCCGCAGCAGCAGCACCTAGGAGTGTGCTAGGAATGCCAGTTCACTCTTTGCTGTGGGGTGGTCCCAATAAACAACATTTAAAGGTCCTCCAGGTGTTTGTATGCATGTCAAATTTCAGAATGATTGACTGAGTGTATAGCTCTGTAGTAGGACACCATCCTCAGGGTATAGCATGGCAGTTACCACCTTAATCTTGTGGCTATCCACAAGAGATGGGGAGGGGCATTACACCCTCATCTGAAATCCCAGCAGCATATCTAATTCTGGTCAGCTACATGTGACTTGTGGCAGTGCTCAAGCACAGAGCTTAGAAGGTGAACTGAAGTGGGGGTCAGATGAGTCCCTCCAGCTACGCAGCTTTGACATGATCATCCATGCTGGCATGTGGTGTTCTGGTGATGCAGCTACTCTGCTCACCCATGATCCTATAAGTACCCTGTACCTTGCTCCTGCAAGGACAGTAAAGTCACTGGTTCTCCAAGTTAACATGGGTGCAGTTGTTTCTTTGGTCTGTTGTTAGGGCCCTGTCTGGGGTGAATAGACGTTTACTCACTCTCCTAAGAAAAACTAACCCAACAAGCTCAGTGGTAGAATGGTTACTACCTTAAGGACTCATCAAAAACTGAACAAATGAATGAATAAATTAGAACTATCACACCTAGCTATTTCTTACTGCTTTATCAACATTTTATATAAGCAATTTATTATAAGAAAAAGTGATTAGACACTTTAAAATCTTTGTGGGTGGGAGAGTGAAATGGGGATGGTATTCCTAACTCTCATTACATATAGCTAACAGACATTACACAGAAAACAAACATATTAAGGCTCAAAAAGACAACAAGAAGAAGGCAGACAGGTCATCATCTTCAAAACTGTAGGAATAACAACATAGTGATTTCCCTGGGTTTCTTCCTTTGCCTTATAGACTGACAGCTACAGATAAACTGAAAATGCACAAAGACATACCAAAAAGCATTGATAAGCGAGACTCATGGCTACGGAGTATGAGTGCAGTAGCAGAGGAAAGAACAAGGTGCACAAGAGACTGTGTGCCCTGGAAAGTTGTGCTGTGACCCTCACACTTCCCTTGGCATGGCATGTGTTCATCCAAGCACATGCTCTCTCTCTCTGTCTGTCTGTCTCTCTCTTTCTCTCTGTTGTAGACAGATGATAAGAGAAGGCCCTTCCAATCAGCCTTGGTGTCAACAGTAACTCTGAACTCTCACCACCCCAATGGTTAAATTAAAGAAGTGAACATTTCTTTCTTATTAAGATGGTGTCAGAGGTGACCTAGTGGGGAGGCTTGCAATTGGGAGCACCTCTGTTCATTCCAAGGTATTCATCCTGAGTTCAGTTCCTAGTACCCTCATATGGTAACTCACAGTGGCATAGAACTACAGCTCTAGAGGAGTCAATGCCCTCTCTGGCCTTTGGGGGCATCTGTACACATGTGCATACAGATACACAATTAAATGAAAATAAGAAATAAATCTTCAAGTATTTAGCCAAAACAGAATGCATAGTTAAACTATAATTTAACTACATACTGTCAATGAGAATCTCATTTCAAATGTAACAGTATAAGTAGAGTGAAAGTAAAAGAATAGTAAAAGGTATATGCCATGTAAACACTAAACAAAAGAAAGTAGGAATGAATATAGTAATAATAGATAAAGTAGACTTCAGAGCAAAGAAAATTACCAGAGAGACATTATATGATAAAATAGTCAACACAACAAGAAGAGATAAGTATATATGAACCAACAAAGGGATTCAAGTTACATTAGGTCAAAGTGACAGAACAGAGAAGGAAAGGACAGTCACACTGGAGACATCAGTGGTCTCCTTTAAAGAGCTGGTAAAACGGGATGAATCAGCAGGATGCAGGAGGACTCAATGCTACTACCAATACGAACTAGGATATAGGAGGACTCAATGCTACTACCAATGCGAACGAGGATACAGGAGGACTTAATGCCACTACCAATAGGAACTGGATATAGGAGGACTTAATGCTGCTATCAATGGGAACTGGGATACAGAAGGACTTAATGCTGCTATAAATGGGAATCTATTTTAGAATGATCTATACAACAAGGCAAAACACAAATATTTTAAGTTTTATTTCATTCTATTCTGTTCTATTTATTATTTGTGTGTGTGTGTGTGTGTGTGTGTGTGTGTGTGTGTGTGTGTATACACTTGCATGCGTGCATGTACCATGTAACATAGTGCATATGTGCAGGCCAGAGGACAACTTTTTCAAGTTGCTTCTCTCTGCATACCCTGATATGGGTTCTAGGGATCAAATTCAGGTTGTCAGGCTTTCAAAATAAGCCTTCACCCATTGAATCATCACATTGACCCCAAAAATTCACCTTTTAAAAGTACATGCTAATATATACCAACACAGACCATACACTGGCTGTAAATGAAAGCCTCAAAAATATAAAATAATTTAAGTCACACTGGGATCTATATTAACAATGGAATAAAAGTGAAATTGGCAGCAGAAAAATAACAGGAAGGTATTGGATGGCAGGTATAAAATGATGCAATTATATTTAATTAGAGAAAAATGGTCAAGATAAAATTTTGAGGACTATAGTATTTCATTGGATTTCTACCAAATATTTAAAATGAATAATAAATTAAACACAATTCTCCATGTAGAATTCTTGTTATGAAACAAACATTACCTTGACACCAAAAGATATACATAAGATACAAAATGAAGTCTATAGTCCCCTGTGTCCTATATACCTCTCCTGAGGTATGAAATGAACTTTCATCATAACAAAGTGGGATTTATTCCAGGAATACAGCCTGGTTTAATAATAAAAAGACCAATCAATGTAAACTGTCATATCAACACTCTAAAACCATATAGTCATATCAACCAATGGATAAGGATAAAGGGAAACTAGAAAAAGTTATCGTTTGTTCATAAGAAAACTCAGCAGATAAAATGAAATTTGATCTACACAAATCCCAAAGCTAATCTTCAATTTCCAAATGGCGCAGTTGTCTATGTAAGGAATCTATTAAAAGAGATGTCAAAGCTCATCAAAATCCCAATGAGACTTTTGTAGCTACAGACAAGATTATTCTACATTTATATGGAGAATGTTAAAAATAATTGCAAAAACAAAGAATAAAGCAGAAGAATCAGTCTATTCCATTTCAAAATTTATCATATTGCTGTATAATTGTATCGAAGCCCATGTGGTACTATTAGATGATAGACACACAACTCAGCGATAGACAGATATGATATACATGCACATTTAAAATTATTACTGATAACAAATTATTGTTTATGTGTATATACATATATGTGGACATATGTACTGTGTGCCATGGCACATGTGTGGTGTGAAGAGAGCAACTTTTATTAGTCCATCTCTGTTTTTACTGTAGGTTTCAGGGGTTGAACGTAGGCCATCAGGTTGCATGGCAACCACTTTCTTTTGCTGTGCCATCTTGCCGGGCCTATGCCCATGTAGTCAGTCAATTAATTAATTAAATTTATTTTGTTTATACTAGTGTTCAAACTCCAGGTCTTAAGCTTGTTGGGTAAGTGACCTACTGAACCACACTAGCCCATTTTATTTTTAAGAGTGAGAAAAGTGTTTCAATGAAGGCAGCCTACAACACATGGTTTTGGGAGCTTAGTATATCCAGACAGTCAAATAAAGAAAAGCAAACCCACCCAACTTCAACATCAGTTTCACACTCTATACCACGTTACCTGAAAATGGATCATGAATGGAAGTGTAAGATGTAAAACTATGAAACTTTGTGTGGGGGCTGGGGTGGAAAAAATCTACAGGATCAAAAACTATGAAAAGAGCTATCAAACACTTCAAAAGCATAAATCATAAAATAAAGAACTGTTGAACTGGATTTCATTGAAATTAAAAATGACTCCTTTACAAAAGTCTGTACTAATATTAGGATGAGCAGGGTGGAGGGATGACTCAGCAACTGGTGACACTTAAACTGCTCTTACAATAAGGTTAGTTCCTAGCATACATGGCAGTGCCAACCATTTGTAATTCCAGTTCCAGGGGATCCAACACCTTTTCTGAACTCTGCAGGATCCTGTATGCATGTGGTGCAGACACATATGAACACACACACATATACACAATAAATAATTTTTAAATATTTTTATGTTCATTGATGTTTTTCCATGGGTGCCAGATCCTCTGGAACTGGAGTTACACAGCTATGAGCTGCCATGTGGGTGTTGGGACTTAAGCCCAGGTCCTCCTGAAGATCAGCCAGTGCTCTTAAGCACTGAGCCATTTCTCCAGCCCCCCAATTTTTAATATTCTAAAGGATGGGATGAGAGCTGTGGCTATAACTCAGGGCTAATTGCCTACTGTGCATGAGGTCCTTGGTTCAGTCCCCACTGTACCAACACATAAGCAAATAAATAAAGACTGGTA